TAATGATTCCATAATTCTGACTATTACCAGGGGCCACACGAGAGGAACAGCAAGTGCATCCAGCAAAACCATGCCATGTGAGCCTTGGAGAGGCAGAGCCCTGAGGACCACATGTCCTGAGGACTTCATGCTGTTATTGAACATAGCTCTGCTTATTGCCTTCAGGGTCAGCATGTCTCTCATAATCCATGAACTGTATGAAAACTCTCAGGGGGTTTCTAGCCACTTGCCAGGCTGTGTTACTGGTACTTACAATAGTAGTTACTGACTTTTCCAAGCATGGCTTAATAATTCAACCATCACCCTTAGAAAGAATTTAGGCATGTATATTGTTAGTAAAGTTAGGTTAAGATGTTTTTGTTAATGGCTTTGGTATAGAAAATCTTGGGGAACAATTTAAAGTCTAGAAAGGCACACTTTTGATAGTTTAGCAAAGGGCTTGTTGAGGTCAGGGAACAAAACCAAAGGAAGCTTGGTCATTACTGGCATATGTGCTTTCCTTGTTAGGATGGGTTGGTGATCAAAGACGATGACTGATTTCTCATACCCATTTCTGCCCTCAGCTTCCTGATATGATTTAATAAAAACTGTTGATGAGGGAGTATGCACCCTGAGTATTTAAAGTAGAAATGACTGATAGTTTTTCACATATAAAAGTTCAGATTTATGATTCTTTTAAAAATTGTTTATAAGATTACCTTTTGAGATAAATAATAAAGTGATTGATCCTCTCTTTGTAACTGTAAAATGCAACCTGCCAGTAACAGAAGTGGCTGAGAAAAATACCTGGCTTGCTTATACTTTGTTAATCTATAACAAATTGCTTACACATTCTGTAGGTGGATCCTTAAATAATTTATTTTTCACCTGTAATACATCAAACATTTCATCATGAAAGGGAAAACTGTTTTTAATGTATATTCATTATAATCATTCACTTGAAAATCAGAATGTAACCATGTTGTAATTTTTATACTGCTTAAGAGATTTTGCTGGGGTGTATAAGCTGTAAGGAAAAAAGAAAGATATACAGAAGGAGTATATCAGGAAAGAAGTAAAGAAAGGCAGGTAGGCAAGAAGGAAGGAAGGAAGGAAGGGAGGGAGGGAGGGAGGGAGGGAGGGAGGGAGGGAGGGAGGGAAGGAGGGAAGGAGGGAGGAAGGAAGGGAAGAAGGAAGGGAAGAAGGAAGGAAGGAAGACCCTGACATGTTGAAGGCGTGTGTGTGTGTGTGTGTGTGTGTGTGTGTGTGTGTGTGTTTTCCCTTTTTTGCTGGCCCTAGAGAACTAAGTTTTACTCTCTCAGATTAAAAGAGTCAATTGTGTGAGTGGTTATTTTGCCAAGTGTGTGCCTCCCTTCAGTTTCTGAGCCTCCACAGCACAAATACCATGCCATAGCACATACCAAACTCTTATTTAAAATGCATGTTCTTACTCAGCAGCCAAGGCTGGCCTCAAACTCATGACAATCTCTTGCCACAGCCTCCCAAAATGCTAGAATTACTGACATGAGCCATGTTGCCCAGCTTTTAGTCAAATGTTTGACTACAGTTCACAATAACTTCTAACTTACCATTTCCATCCTACAATTTTATTTTCTCACTTTGTGTTTCAGTAAGTGTTTTGCTTGCTATTTCCCACTTGATTAGGCCAATCTGAGTGGGGGTGGGGTGTTACTGTGTGATTCAGCCATCACTTAGAACTCATTTGACTTTTGGTTAATTTGTGGGGTTTTTTCTTTTAACAAAAAAGTGCATTAATTTTGTTTTCAAGTGGTATCATTGTACCGTTGTGTTGATTTCCATTTCTTGAGGATCTTTTGGAGACTAATTTCTCTCTAATTGTTGTTACAAACATATTACATATGTGTGTAAATTCCTAAACACATAAATATAACTGACTCAGTCTGTATAATGCTATAATCTCAAAAAATTTTAAAAAATGTAAAAAATTATATATTTTAAAGTTATTTAAAATCAGACACTGAATCAAGTTCTTATGCAAAGGAAATATATTTGGGAAGCTATCTCAGAACTATGAAAAAATCTGGAGAACGAAATAAGAAGAAAAGGTCAGGAAAGGGTTAGATCAACAGTTACTTGTCTGAGTGTGAGCAACTGGAGTCAATCTCTCCCTAGACTTCCTGGGAACTTTTGTGGGGTGTGCGCTAATTCTCTAAGCCCTTCATAAACACATTTCTGGTAGCTCCTGCTTGCTTTGATGATCAACTTCATCCAAGTGATAAAGAACAAGGCCGATGTCCTTGAGACACCGCAGGAAGATTAGAGTGTCATTGTGCCCGTCATACAAAATAAACATGGTAAAAAGTATCAAAAGAAAATAAAAATTCTACCAGGTAGACAGACAAACTTTCCCTTCCATAATTAATCGGAAAACAGTAGTGAAGAAAGTAATTGGATGTTAACAAGTCACTAACTACTCCAGGCTACATTTACCATAAAACATGCCTGGTGTCTGCTTAGACGGCACAAGAGAAGTGGTCACATTTCTGTCTTTCATGTTTTCTACCTGATTAACATCTTAGTGGCAAGAACTGACTTGCAGCCTGCTAGATGGGATATGTTTTATCAGAATTGTGTACTATTGTCACAACGACTTCACGGGACAAATATCAGAGCCCTAATTTCCAGTAAAATAAAGCTCAGAAAACTTACAATTCACCTAAGATCTCTCAACCAAAGGGACACCCTGGAACCATAGGGAGTTCAACTGTCAGGAGCATTGGGTGCTGGTGTCACAGTAGTCTGTAAACAAGTCAAACCTCCTAGCAAGATGGACAAGGAGGAGGCAGAAAGTGGGGAAAATGATAACTTCCTCATGTAATCATGGAAGGAGGGACATGTGGATCATCAATAGACACAGGTTTCATTTCACCACTGAAATAAAGGAGCCCAAGGAAATGGGAGAAGAAAGAGCTGGGAATCAACATGGACTTGGTTCCAAGAAAGAGGGGGAAACCCTCCTTTAAGTTTCCCTCTCAGGCCCTGTAAAGAGATTACAACATAGAAGTAAGAACTAGTCCTAAATCCCAATCTGAGCCTCAGGTAGCAAGGAAGTTCCTGAATAAGGGTGTGAGTGTGTGACATGAAAGGAGGGGTTGGAGGAGGAGAGGAGTCCTTGACAATAACCCTCCAGAAACTAGAATGCCTTGGGTGTGCCCCAAGTCAGGTTGGGGAAGGCAGCTTTTCCTGAAGACCTTCTGTTTAAAAACCATACAATTGTCGGCCGGGCGGTGGTGGTGCACGCCTTTAATCCCAGCATTGGGGAGGCAGAGGCAGGCATATCTCTGTGAGTTCGAGGCTGGGCTGGACCGACAGCCTCCAAAACAATACAGAGAAGCCCTGTCTTGTAAAAACCAAAAAAAAAAAAAGAGTAGGTTAGAACCTGCCAATGATTTATTATAAACAGGAAAAAAACAGAATCACAGAAGGTATGGTAACTTTTGATCCAGAAAGATTTGAAAAGATTAATTATTGTTCCAGTTGCCACTAAGTCTTTTAAAATATTAACACAAGAAAAGGATAGAAGGAGAAAATAGCAGAAATGATTTTTTTAGTTTTGAAAATAAGAGAATAATAATGTTGACAAGATTAAAATAAATATAATAAGCAATCACTTTTGAAACTTGAGTGGTAGTACCCGGTACCTATATATCAATCATGAGGTACCTGTACCAATTCTTAAATGAAAAAGTTCTTGCTCACTGTGAATCTTGCATAACCATATGTAACTGAACTTATCCGGTATTAATCATTTCCATACTGATGGATACACATGGCCTTTGTAGTGACTGTCAAAGAGCCAGTTCTTATCCAGAATTATTCCCCAAATATTCCATTTTAAAGAATTGTCTACAGATGAAAAATCTCTTTATGATCATTGTTAATGACAGGCAAGATCACTGGATGTTAATGATTTACTAGATGTAGTAATAGATAGATAGAAAAGTTACAAAATTATAATGAGATGTACAAACTATTGATAACCCTAACTTGTAGTAAAGTCTAAAACCTCTAAGCTGTATTCTCTATGTTGGATTATTTCTTTCCTCTGACAGACTATAGTCCCTCCTCAGGACTTTCTCCAAAACACACTCACAAGTCAATCACAGCCTAAGAATGTCCCAACAGAAGGGGTCTCTGAGAAGATCATACTTCACTGAAGTCCATGTATGTAACAGTGAAGCACATTTTTCACTATATGTTGAAAGCTCGCATGTGCACATGTCCCTCAAGATGGCCAATTAGGGTCAAACTTCCATCCTTCTGATTTCCCAAATTCATCTTACTAGGAGGAAATGAAGGAGGCAAAAGGGGAAAATATAACAAATCTGTAAGATCCTTCTATATTATGAAGTATCTATCTATCTATCTATCTATCTATCTATCTATCTATCTATCATCTATCTCCCCCTTCCCTCTCACTCTCTGTCCTCTCTCATGTACACATCACATACCTGTGTGTTATGTGTGTGTATGCCTGTGTGTGTGTGCATGTGACTGTGCATGCATGTGCGTGCGTGCGTGCGTGTGTGTGTGTGTGTGTGTGTGTGTGTGTGTGTGTGTGTGTGTATTGCAGAGAAATTAGAAGCAAGCAAGATGTCCACTGAGGGACTTCATGGCATCAATATTGTTAAAGTTTGAATTTCTCTTTGCTCTCTGTCCATACAGGATGGTGAGTCATCCAGTAAAGAGTATCTTGTGGCGGAAATTAAATATGTGCTAATAAAGAAACAAGAAGCAAATAGTTTGCACAGTCCCAGTCAACTCTGATTACAAAGGGAAAATAAAGAATGTATTCTTTAAAGCCTTATCCAAGTCCTCTCAGCTTAGATAAAGGCACATACATACCCGTCAATTGTGAAACAATCCCCCTAAGGCCTATTAGACCATTCATTAAAGCAGCTCCTGCCAAGAAATGCTTATGGTGTAAATCTTCTGGGGGTAAAATATCCAGATCATAGAAACACATTTGTGAAGCTCACCATTTGGAAGGAGTCAAGTGCTGTGTGGTGTGCTGTTTCTGGGCCTGGACATCATCAGCTGGCAAGCACTATTGTTCTCTTTTCTTCATAGATAGAAAATCCTCCTCTGTACCAAGGCCTTCTCTCTTCCCTTTCCACCGCTGCTGTCTTGCTTGTCTGTCTTTACTGTTTACCTTCTTTCTAGCCTCCTCTGCTCCCCAAAGTAGCTTTACCCTCTTCCCTCTGTTGATGCGCTAAAGGTACAAAGGACAACTAACACTACATCCTAGGAGTCTCCGTCTCCATTGCCTGGTAACAAACAAACAAAATATAAACAATGTGGTCATGTCTCATTCTAGAGAAATTAGGTCACTTGTGATTCCCAGAAAGATACATGTTATTTCTCCCCTAAAGATCTGCAGAGACTTCGGCTCAGAAAACAAACATATAGGGCTAGCCTGACTCAAACATATGGCCTGCTTAGTATGATCTAGGGCTCCAAACAGGATCCTGATTATTAGAACATACTATTTGGGATTTGAATAACAGATTCTTTAGAGTTGCAGAATGGCTAGGTGCCAGAGATCACTTGATTTACATGCTTAGTATTCACAAATGAGGAGAGAGTCAGAGCTCCACAGGCTAAGGATATTCAAGGTCACCTCATTAGTTGGAGATCACCTAGCCTTAATATTTCAAAACAGTAATGTTTGGGGTGTTTTGGTGGTTTTCCTCTGTTCTTTGTTCTGGTTGTTTTGTTTTTGTTTTTTCATTGCATAGCCTTTGCAAAGAAGAAAGCAAATTATAATTACCAAGCCAGCCAGCTAGAAGCCATGTTAGCAGACTCTCCTCTATTTTATCCCTAACAACTAGACTTCACTTTTGACCTAGTCCAGGCCAAACCATTCTTTGCTTTCCGTACACATGACAGGAAAAGTCCCTCATTTTAGGTTCTCGGTTTAGTGACTCAGAAGTGAGTTCTGCCCTTGTCTCAAGAGCTCATTGGCTCCCTGCTCAACACATGATGCTCCAGTAGCACCCATTCCCTGTTTTCAATTTCTCGTCTCCATTCACTCCACATGATAGTGGAGTGTAATCCTCACTCTTGACACCCACAACCCAAGCTTATAGAAATCTTCAAGGAGAACACGTTTGAAGGGGTTCGAAGCTAGCTGATGATAGGGCTTTTTGTGATTGCTTCATTTACAATGCCAAGAGTTCAGATTCTGTATAACAAGGGCCTCTACTAACTGCTCTAGCATAAGATTAACTATCAATAACTTTGATTCCAGAGCCAGTGCAAATTGAACACAGAGATTTGAGTTCCGCATCCTCAGCAATTGATATTACCCTGAATGCAAGTGTGCAGGCTAAGCCTGAGTCTAGAAGAAACCAACAACCTCCACACAAGGCAATCTCTCTAGGGTGGGTGGAACCAGCTGTCCTCTGAACTCCGCAATAACCATGCCTCACTTTTTTTTTTGGAATCCCTACTTGCCTCCTGATATTGCAAACCTCTTGATTATTTATTCTTTTCTTAATCTACATCATTGTTGTTGCTCTGTGCATTCCTCTTCTGTACCCTCTAACAGTCTGTACCACAGGACCTCACCTCACTCTCAGTCATATCTTATGCATCATCTCTTAGAATATCCCCCATTTTATATTTAATCCAGGCATCTCACTCTTCACAGAGACTTTCACTCCTCTGTATCTCTCACTCAGTGATTCCTCATTCTCCCTACTCCTCATTTTAACCAATGGGTCCCTCCACTTTCTCCCAGTTGATCACCTTTGCTGTCACTTCCTATGTGGCATTCTAAAGTACTAAAAGACAACATACCTTTCTAGGCAACCTCCTTCATCCACAATGGATGAGACAATATCAAATATTTTGCTTGTAGTCCAGAACCCCCCCTTAAACTCTTAGTCTGTGTGATAAAGGGCTCATTGGCCATTTGATCACTGAAGATTCTAAACCACAAACAGTTTGGCAGCTCTATAATTGGATGATTTCTTCCATAGACTTTTCTCCTGGAAGGAAGTGTGACTTTGCCATCACATCTGGAGTGGGCTTCTTTCATCTAAGAGTCAAAAGAGAACTAACAATAAAGTGTGCATTGTGGCTGTCATCCACTCCTGGGGATATACTAAGAAAATATGGACTCAGAGGCTGAAGAATTACCATGTGGTCTACATAGTAAATTCTGAGCCAGCCAGTGCTACACAGTGAGACTGTATTTCAAAGTGTATGTGTGTGTGTGTGTGTGTCAGAGAGACAGAGAGACAGAGAGAGAGAGAGAGAGAGAGAGAGAGAGACAGAGAGAGACAGAGGGAGGGAGGGAGGGAGGGAGGGAGAGAGAGAGAGAGAGAGAGAGAGAGAGAGAGAGAGAGAGAGAGAGAGAGAGAGAGTTATCCAGGTTACTTTTCAGGGATTCAAAGACACATTTTATTGAAAACACCCTCTTGATTTAGCATGCAGATGGCCAATGAGTAATTGAAATGAGATAAAATTTTAGCATTTCCACCTTCATAATTTGTGACTTCTTGGCTATCTGAATTTAAGAAATGATTTTTTTCTGGAGCCATAATATGGTAAGTTTGCCTTACATCTGGTTTCTCTTCTCTCTCATGAAGGTGAAAAACAAAAACAAAAACAAAACAAAACAAAAAAACACCCAACAGGACAGGAAACACCAGACCATGAAAGGGTGAAAAGAGGTAACACTTGAGTTCCTGGAAGATTGCAACTTTACTCCAAGAAAAGGTCTGCCAAGTTCTCTCCACATTAGTACTGGTCTCTTCCTTGCTATTCTCACAATATTCCCGAGAGTCCTCAACTTCTTGGAGCTGACAAGCTGATTTGGCAATGATACTCCCACTTCTTCATCCTTTGGCCTTTGAATGAGTGTATGCTGTTGAAGCCCTTTGTTCATTTTCATTTTCATTAGCTTCATGACTTCAAAAGGGAAAAGATTTCACTTTAGGGGCTTCTTCTACCCAAGGGAACAAACAAATCTTTAGTAACACTCTTTTGTATCATCAGTCACCAAATCCTATAGACATTGTACTATTCACTTTGACTAATTTATTGAGCAAGTATGTATTATTAACTATATGGCAGACATTAATCTAAGTGCTTTGGATATAGCAGATATAGCAGTGAACAAAATAGGCAAAGCCTCAAACCCATGAAACTTACATTTTGTAGTGAGCACATATTATGTGCTCAGGAATGAATTGTGTTCTTACTTGTACATTGAAATCCTAAACCTTAGCACATCATAACATAACTGTGTTTGGAGATAGGGTTTTTACAAAGACAAGATAAAGTCCTTAGGGTAGATTCTAATCTAGTATTATTTGTGTCTTTATAAGAAAAGAAAATATGGACTTGACTACAGAGGGAAGACAGTATGAAGACACAGTGAAAAGTTAGCTGACCTCACTCCAAGGGGAGACATCAGAGACAAACCAACCCTGCCACCACACTAATATCAGACTTTTAGCTTCCAAAATGTGAGAAAATTAATTTCTGTTATTTATCCTGTCTATGGTACTTTATTGGGCCACCCCTGGAAAACAAAATATTTATGTTCTTCCAGGAACTCAAGTGCTACTTCTTTTCACCCCTTCGTGTTTCCTGTCCTTTGGGTGGTTTTTTGTTTGTCTGTTTGTTTTGTTTTGTTTTTGCCTTCATGGAGGAAAAGAAAAATCAGATGAGTTTTAAGGCAAGTTGAAGACAGGAAAGGGAGCAGTCAGCTGTGTTCTAAGGAAGAAAGGGCTTTGGAAGGGAAAGGGGACAGAATATGAGCTGAGAAGTGCATAAGGCCAGATTCCAAAAGGCTTCTTCGCTGAAGACAGAGTTTGGACTTTCTGTCACATCTAACCTCATCACTGTTAACATTTTTTATCAAATAACTCTTTGATGTGAATGGCTGTCCTCTGTATTACAGGGAGTTAATAGCCTCCATGGACTCTACCTAGGAAAACCCGATAGCAGGCCTTGCCCTTGTGTGTTATATCCCTGTAACAACATTTGTTGCTGCCAAATGTCACCTGGACACAGAACAGCCTTTGCTTGGGAATCAATGTCGTGATGAAGCAGAAAATCATTGAAACCACAATCAGGCAATCAAATGGTTCCAATTGTTTTCTCTGAATAAATATAACAAGAACAGATTGGGTCAAGGGAGAACAAATGGAGAAGTGGAGAAATCTAGGCAAGTTGTCAAAAAGAGAAAAGAGGGCAGATTTAAGAAATGTGGGTGACAGACTCAATAGAACTTGTGGTATGTGAAGGTAAGGGAGGGGAGAATCATGGTATCCTTCAGTTCCTGTTGTAATTCCCTGGGTGAGTGCCAGGGGAGACAAGCAGTCTAAAGAATGTTGGAGCATCATTCCTATCCAAACATGGAATTGTCTTTTTAGAAAACATTTGCTATTATGGGAGAGATGTAGATGGGAACGAATATGTGAATCCAATGCCCCAAGGAAACATTAGAATCAGAGATCAGAAACTTGAGGGTCTACATCTGTAGATGGAAAGCCACAAAACAAGATTATATTCTCTAGATAATATGAAAAGAGTAAAATTAATTTTCCCTACTTCTTTAAGGAATTAGCAGTACATAGTTTTTATCTGTTTTTCTATTTGAAATTTTCTCCATTTTTGTCATGCAGAGGATGGCTTAAATGGTATGAATATTAGTACTCTAGCTAATAGAAGAGCTGAATCATTTCTCCTGTGTAGATTCTAAACTGAGTACCATGCATTAAAAATCATAGTATTCCAAAGCTATAGAACTTCACATAATCCCAAGGATGGGCCTAATCACTGTCTGCAATTCTTTTTAAGGTTGAAAACACTGTGTAATTCCAGAGTAACACACATACACATTAAGTGTGCTTGAATGAAGGTTCAGCAACACTTTAGAATTACTGAGATACTTCCTAAAACACTCAGCATGGACCAGAAGTTAAAATGGGTTTTCCTAAGTCAAGAGCTGGGGCATTAGGCCTACCAAGAAGTCCTGCCTGGATGACTGTCCCATAGGTTAACCAAAAGGAGGCCAGAGAGGCAAAGGAAAACTGGAACCTTCATAAAATTGTCTCTTGGGTTCTTCCAGCAGCATCAGGTAAACAGGCCGGCTTCCCGGCCTGTGCTCCAGTGCCTGCAGATCGCCTGGGACCTGCACAGAGCTCCCAATCCCGGCAGGAGCCAAGCACCCCAGACTCCGGATCTTCGC